TTTTTTTTTTTTTTTTTTTTTTTTTTTTTTTTTTTTTTTTTTTTTTTTTTTGAGTGTTTGGACAAAAAAATACAATAGAAAATACATATTTACATTTTTAATATAATTGCAAATTATAAAAGTTTAAGCACTTACTAATTTTTAATATAATTAAAATTATAAAAATTTAAGAATTCGCTAAACATTTCAAAAAAAAATGTTTTTTAATAATAAAATTATAAAAATATTATTTACATTGTTAATATAAAACTAAAACCAAGTTCCTATATAATCGATTTAAAATCTTCACTTCCGAATTTTCCACGATAAATCGATATGTTATTCCCAAAAATCAAATCTAACAGAGTAATCCCGTTTTATTTATGATTAGCTCCCATTAGAAAACTTAAGAACAGGGTCCATTAATAAACTTAAGATTTATACGCCATTTACCATGTCTAGACATTATTTCCAAGCAACTGCCGTTTGGCAGAGATATGAAAATAAATTTACTCCATGCATAAAATTAACTAGAATAATGTGACAGCCGCCTACATATGAGGGAGAACATGGCTGCCTAGCCAGAAAACGATTTGCGTTTATCTATTGACGCATGCATATATTAACAGGGCACAGAACAAGCGTTCGACTAGATAATTACAAGCTAAATAGAAAAAGCTACAAGGAGAGAGCGAGACAGAGGCAGGCAGACAAAGCAGACAGAGACAGACAGACCATAAATAATAATTAAATGCGTGACTAATTACTTGTGTAATTTGCTATTATTAAGCAGCTGCAGCAGCGGCACTAACAAAAGACGGAAGTTGACGTAGTCATAACAGAGATACATAAATACATATATATTTACACACAAATAAGCATATGGGCGAGAAAAAGACAGGGATGGTGAGAGAGAAAGCGAGAGACTCGCATAATGAGCTGGCAATATGTCGAGTTATCGCTAGAAATTAAGTTCAAGTTGCGGCTGCTTGATAGGTATTTGTCAATGCATAAGTAATCTAGGCAAGTGTAGCACGCTGTGTGTGTGTGCGTGTGTGTGGGTGTGTAGGTGGAAATTTGTGTGCCGGTGGGTGTGTGCGGGTGTTGACGATGATTAAGTTGACAACAACTGTCAACTTTGCTTTAGCGCGCGCTGACATAACCTAAACGCACTCACACACACAGACACACACACAGAGAGACACAGAGTTGACACACACACACAAATACATTCACTCAAACTACGTTTGCTATGGCAGCTGCCCTGTTGTGGTTTGGCCCCAGCTCTTGCTCCGCAGCTTAATGAGTCTTGATTTATTTCATTTCCTTCATTTTTCGATACGACGTTGTCGGCGCCGTCTGCGTGTTGTCACCCTTGACTTCCACACACACACACACACAGACACACGCACGCACGCACGCACACACATATTCACTTATTATGCCTTGGCATGTGCTTTCGCACCGCTGTGGCATCTGCTTATTTACATGACAACAACAAAATTCATTACTCTTACGCTGGTTTGGGGCCATCATCTGATGCGCTGCTTCGCCTTCACGATTCACTTTTACCTGTGCGCATGGTTTAATTAATACATTGATTGCTTAATTAAATTTCTGAGCAAGCGACATTTAACGTTGACATCGCTAAGCGATTCCCATTGCTCGCCGCTCCATGCAAATATGCTTAACTTCAAATGCTAATTGAACTAAATGTGCGGATTAAACTAACTCTGTGAGCTAGTTCTAAAACACAAATTGGCTGAAATAGCAAAGGAGCAAAATTCTGTGAAAGCAGACGAGTTATGAGCAGAAGCTTAGGGATTCATGTAAACTATGCTTTACTAAAACTTTTTCAATTAATTGAGAAATGTATATAAAAAATATATAAATAAAAAAAATTTGTTTTCTACATTTCCTTATACACATTTTTTTCATTTGTGGCATAAAGTTTTTAGAGCTGAAAGTTATGAGCAGAAAAAGCTCAGGAATGTAGAAACACAAATTATAAAGTAAATTTGTATATATACTTTTATAGCCAATGAACGTGTTCAATAAAAAAAAATGTGATTTTGCAATAAAAAAAATTGGTCCAACGCAAAAATGTAGGAGCTATTTTTCATAGATTCCAGAAATTTTTGTTATAATTCCTTCTACATTTAAAGAACATTTTGTTGTATGCAGAATACTTTATTTATTTATTTTATTTTATTTTTGACTTTTGCGTCAATTGAATTTATGTCGCTTCGATATAAGCCAATTCTGCATATTTGTTGCAGCACAACAATTGGGACAAAGGCTCAACCCGTTACGCCCGATACATATCGCACAACTCCCACATGTCAGCTTACACGCAAAGCGCGGCGAACAGCTCTCGAAAATTGTTTTCATCCTGCTGTGCGCCTGCTTATCGCAAGCACTGTGTGTGCGTTCGAGGCGCCATCAATAGTTTTTACGTTAGCTCACAACAAAAACAAAAAAAAAACTATAAGTAGCTTTGTCTACGTGTTGGCTAAAAGCAAGACTGTAACTGAAAATTAATATTGAAAATTGTTATATAATTGTAATCTGAAAATATATAACAAATATGATATTTAATTCATAGCTTATATATAACAAAAAATTATTTTATTATTCAGTTGACTTGAAGATTTTTAAATTTTTCTCAAGGCTTTGCATTGATAATAAATAAGCCTAAATAATTCTCTATTTCTATGCAGATTAAACGACAAGTAGCTTAGCATTTTTAGCCTGTAAGAAAAGTAACTAATAGAAAATCAATAAAAATTATTGGATTAGTATTCAAATGAAAATGCCTCCCACTTTAATCTTTAGTTTCAGCTGGAATAAAATTATTTAGATTTCACTCATCTGTTTAACATTTCAACAATTTTGTGCGCTGTGATATTTCTGTCGTTTCATATATATTTTTTTGTATATTTACAAACATTAGCCAGGGGAATCAGTACAGAAGCGTTTTCAATATCCGGCACTTAAATTTTATTACTTTGCACTTTTGATGGCCGCCATTTTGTGCAACCTGTGCTGCACGTGCTCCCAGAGACATACTATCTTGCTCGCGCGCACATTCACATCTAGCTAGCTAGCGGTATTCTGTTGCAGCGCCACTCTGCATATAATCTCCATAAAAATACATATAAACAAAATGTAAAATTCATAAAAAAGAGAAATATAATGCAAAACCGAGCATTTCTCGCCTTGCAGCTGGCATTTTATTCGGTTGCTGTGGCTGCTGCTGCTATATCCCTTCCCCTTGCTCTTGCTCTTTTACTCTCGCTTGGACGCGCTTGCACTTGCACTTACACTCCTCTCTACCTCTCTCTCTCTCTCTCTTGCGCTCTTTCGCCGGCATTGTTTGCGTGCGCTATGCATTTGCTTTGGCCTGTCTGCGGTTACCCTTTTGCTTGCCCCTTTCTCTGTCTCTCTTCCTAACTCTCCCTCTCTCGCTCTGTGGCCCTCTGGCCATGTTTATTTGCCTAAGCGCCGCTTGTTGTTTGTTTACACTTTTTCGGTTTATGTTTCCTCCTTTTGTGCGGGTGTCAATTTTATTTACTTTTTACTGCACCAACTTGACTTTTATGCCCATTTCTGTTCCCGGTTCCCTGCGCACTGCATCTGTTCCCAGCTGCGGACTGTTGCCACTCCGTTCACACAGTGACTGCCTCTCGCTCTCCGTGTGTTGGCTGGCTGCTATGCAATCTAGTTCAACTCAAAAATCTGACTTCTCTTGGCTTCATTTTATTTTTCGCTTTTCTAAGCAACAAAAGTAATCATTTATTTATCTCAGCGTACAGTTGACTGCAGTGCAAAAATAATATAATTTATTTAATATTATTTTTAGCTTAAGGCTAGCTATAAAACAGCAAATTCATGGACCAGCTTGGGTTTTACATAATAAAACTAAATTTCAAGCTATTTCTCTCGCATATATTTATGAAGTTGTAAAATTCCGTATCTAAAGAGAAATGTGGAAAGTTGAAGTTCAAGTGTCAAACCATAAATACCCTGCAAATATTTATTTAGATATAGTATGTGTATAAACTAATGAACGATATGCTCTTCGATTGATCACAAAGGTCTATACCACAAATGATTCAATAAAACTAAGCAACTCAATGGATCATAGCTCAATAAAAGTATAATATTCAGTTTGTATAGACTAGATATAATCGACTACTACTACTGAACAAGATTACTTATACCTAACTAGAAAGGTTCCAATCCTCGATCGTATACCGTTACTAAGTAAGTTCAACGTAAAACAAAACTGGATCCACTTATAATAGTAAAAAAACATACACACATACAATAAAAATCTAACAACTCGGTGTCTCATATCTCAAAATACAGAGTATTTTTTAGCGAAACTCAGCTTAAGGCCTCTCTCACACACACACACACACATGCACACACTCAGCTATATATTCGCTCACATAATGTAAACATAAACAGGGCAATAAAATATGAAAAGCCTGAGGCAAACAGCGACAGTCGTCAACAGGCAGCCACACCCGCTGAATCGAAGTCGTAGTCAAAGTCAAAGTCGAAATCGAAATCGAAGTCGAAATCGAGATGGATATTACATTTGCCGTGGAGAATGCACACGATGAGAATATATTGAGGTTCGATTTGCCATTGGATAAAGAGGTGAGATAGAAAAACCTATTCAGGTTAAAAGTCTAGCCAACTGATTATAGAATTGGTCTTTTCAGCTATATTTGTCGTTCATGTTGTCGCTGCTCACGCTCGAGCCGCATCCCAATGACAGTCTCAACTGCGATGAGGAGACTCTGCGCATGCGTCAGCAGTTAATCATGTACAAGGCGGAGGTGGATGCACTCGATCGCAATGCCGACGACTACTACGAAAGGAAGGAAAAACTGATCTTCAAGATCTTTTGTGAGTTTCGCGGCCTTGTCTATGATCCTGAAACGCTGGAATGCTGCCAGGAGCCGCCGGAACTCGAGAATAATTAATTAATTAATTGATGGCAGACAAGTAATTTAATGAATAAAGCTATGCAGATCAAGCTTTTTAATTTAAACCTGGCTATCGATAAATATCGATTGGTGGACAGCTTATCGAACATCAAAAGCAGACCAAAGCTCTTAAATCGAATAAATCAAACCAGCTAGAGCTTAAACTTTCTTAGCCTTGCTGCACTGCGACCCCAGCTGCTGTCTCGGCTTGGCTTTTAAAATACACCGAAATCCGAATACCTACAGTTAGAAAAACACGCTGTCAGAACATGGCCAACAGTGCGAATGCTGGAGCTCTAGTTGTAGCCTAGCCTTTGTGCCCCGTCTACAAATTAATTTCAACTCAGTTGGAAGCCTAAGCTAAAAACCATTTGAATGCCAGGCAAATTATTCAACAACCAAATAAACAAGCAGCCGGGCGTGGCAGTAGGCACCCTCATTGCGTCAGTGTGTGTGTGTGTGTGTGTGTGCGTCCGCAAAATGACTTAACATGTCTGAAACTGATTATAGCTCTGGCAAGCCAAGTAAAATATATAAGCAAATGTACAGACGTATATATATTTGTATTTGTATTTATATGTATATGTATGTATGTATATGTGTGTATATGTATGTGTGGTTGTCCGCACCATTGCTTACAGGTGCCACCAAGTGGCCGTGTTCATGTGGCTTACGCACGACTTGTGCGTAGACATCATTAGGCAAAAGTGTGTATATTTTAATACCCTGTAACACATACATCATGAGGGCTTACGACAGTGACAAAGAAAAATGCTTTACATAAAATAAATGGATGAAACTATGCAAATGTTAATTTGCCTACGCACGATTAATCATGCCTAAAAAGTTCTGGCAATATGCATAACTAGTATGACAAAATATAATGTGATTTTAGACGTCTTTCGATAAATATCGATAAGAGTTAACAGTATCACAACATATAGCACATATAGAATTTTACTAATTTAATAATAGCTAGATATTATTTCGTCCAACTTTATCAATGTTGATAACGATATCTATCGAAGAACAACAATTTAAAGAACTTCACATTAAAAACTTATCATTTATATATAATACAGGGTAATTTCTTGCCTACTTTTTTACCTCTATACATGTACGTATTCCCATTACTTTCTGTCTATGTCAAGAATGTGAAAATAAATTGGCTTAGGTGCCTGTTGGAATGCTGAACTAACGTCAAACTGAATAGAACTCCATCGTATTGAACATCGTACTGGAACCGGATCGGAGCCCAAAGTGAAGGTTCATTAAAATTTGACTTTCGCTGCATGCTGCAAAGGGCGGGCCAGGCAAATCATTGGAATTTGTTTAATTAAGCATAGTTACCTAACATGTTGACATGTGCGCGCTTATCCAGCCCTATTCGCACAAGAACCCTTCAATTAATTGTCCTATCGAATTTAATAGTAGAACGCTGAAGGCCAAAAATTTAAACTAGCTGCTTGAGATATCAGCGGGAAAATTTCGCGTTCATTAATTATCGCAACAAAATGCGTAGCTCCTCCACGCTCACTCTCCCTCCGCTCGACAGCTGAAGACCTTGCTCGCTGCATGGGCGCTGCCAGGCACACATGCACACGCCCCCTGTTGGGCAGAGGGTGTAATTAAGCAACATTTACCGTTTCGGCGTTGCCACACCACGTTCGCTTGGCCCGTCTTGCTCGGTGTTTGGCTCGCGGTTTTTAGGTGCGTGCTGTGCCAGGCTGTACAACTCCGCTGCTCTCTGCCATTTCGACCCATTCACTCAAGTATTAATAACAGCCAAAGTGTTGCCTGGGAAATTTATTAAGATGCCGTCGCCGGCAGGCGTTGCCACTCGGCCCAGCTCGTTGATGCCTCAGCTGTTGCCACTTCAAAATATTTTAGGGTCTTTTCTTTTCATTTATATATATTTTTTTTCTTTCTCACTCACCCTCTCTCCCTCTCTGTTTAGTAGTTTTGTTTTGTTTGGAGGAGGCCTTGGCGCTTGTGTCTATAATTTGGCCAATTATTTTACAATGTGGCGTATGCGAAATATTTAAAGAGCCTTAAAGAAGGCATAGCGAATTTCTAAGAAACTTTTACAAAATTCATTTAATATTGACATCATCAGTGCCTACGCAATTTTTATGGCCTAAGCTGCAGCATACAGAGGAGTTTAAAAATCTTGAATATATTTGCTTTGAAGCAGAATTATTTCACAAATTTTTTATATAAAAAATATATTTGCTCTGTTCAATCACAACTTTTGCTCTTAGCCGTTAGCTAATGTAAATAAAATATGAAGACTTGACAAATAAATTTATTTTATTTACAGTCTAGTATGAAAAGACGTGCTCTTTTATACTATTTATTTTTGTATATTTATTTAATTACGTATTTGTTTGTTTATTTATTTAATGATATATTTTGAAACATTTTATCAAAATTGTGTTTACTTTTATTTCCTTAATGTTTTTTCTACAATCAACATTTTTTTATTATTTTTATTTATCAACACTTTATCTCACTCGCAGGAGTCATCAAACAATTTTTCATTTTCTCACTATTTTGCTGTGGTCGGTTTTATGGTTAAGCTCTGTGAGCAATTTGCTCGCTCTCGTTTATTTCTAAATTGCGTGTACTAAATAAATAAATTGGCTTTCAGCAACTATTTTTATGAGTGAAACTTCTTGCAGCCATCGCTGAGCAGTAAAATAATATTTTATTTGGCGCTCATTGGGGTACAATATATTCAAATGTATCTCACAATATGTAGGTAAAGCTGTGAACTAGAAAATGATGGTCTAATAGATGCCCAGTAAATTGAAGCAAATAGTGGAGAGGTAAGGTAAGAAAGTTTTCCGGTTTTTCCTTAACTGATGTCTGTGAGATAAACCTATTGAGACTTGCTCTAACATCGATAAGTAAATAAATGAAGCCAGTAGAGACGAGCTTTTTCCTTATTTTTAAATAATAAAATATTTATATATATTACAAAAAAGACCATAGCATTGTTTTGTAGTTTATTTCAAAAGTCTCATGTCTCATCTCTCTCAGTTTCTGCGGACGCTGGGTATACAATATGACACCCACATATATTTTCCGGTCAGTCATAAACTTTCCACCAATGAGTCAGCCATACAAGTCTGCCCGGGTCTGGTTCGTGGCTGCCCAGAACTCTAATAGCAACTGCACAAAAGATGAACTGAAAGTGTCATAAAATAGTTTTTAGCCACAAAAAGACAGCGGTTGCAGTTGGTTGAAGAAGAATAATGCGAACTTTGTGTGATGCGATTGCTAAATGAATACTGCAATATGGCTAACTCTGAAAAACTACTTTTTCTGCTTGCACTCAATACTTCTGGAATATTCAAGGGAATGAACATGATGAAAATTGTCAAAATTCCTTAATAAAAGTATCAAAATACAAATATAAATTATTTAATTTTTTGTCTGCAATATAAAATGTTACAAGGGATAGTAATCCCTTGTTCACTATTTTTTATGCATGCTTTATTTATGAATTAATAAACTCATTCATGTAGAGGAGAAATTTCGGGTAACATGATGTGAATACAAACACTATTAAATTTCGCCAAAGAAAAGAGTTTTAATGCAAGCAAAAATTGACAGCTGTAAAATGCGTAAATACTTATTTTTTTAAGGGCGTTTTAAATTCAGAAAGAACTATAGGTTTATATCTTCTTTCGACGAGAATATTTTTTTTATGTTTTTGTCATTCGCATGCTGAGCTTCGATAGTGAGAAGGATAAAAAAATGGCACGAACGGGCGCAACCAACTGCCTAATACTCGTGCTGGGTCCAAGAAAAAGTTTAATTAAAAAATAATAAAGATTAAAATTTTTTAATATGCTTCACCAGCATGGCTCCACTATTTATAGAGCTTTCTGTATATGTATATATATATATATAAATATATATGTAGAAAGATGATGAGCACTGCCTAGAGCTAATATTCTTTGGTGCGAAACGTGAACGAGAATAAGATAAAATAAAATAGTGGAAAATGGAGCGCAAAAATATCTCCGACACTCGCAGCGGGTGTGAATTTATGGCCGTAGACGTAAGGTCATAGTTCAGCATATGTCTGCATGGCTTGGCCCAACAAATCATCATTAAATGGGGGCACATAGAGAGCGTGGACAGCAGCCATAAATAATAATTTAATTATTTTATTACTTAAAAATGCACAACAAATGCGCTTTATACACGCGCTCGCAATTAACGCCGCTCACTTGGCAGCCTTAAAGTCCGACGAATAATTGCCTCAATAAAATATCCAAATGAAACGTAGCCCTAAATAAAGTGAGCAGCACGGTCCAAAGAATTCATTCAAGCAACAAAGCAGTCAAGAGCCAACTCGTAAGTAACTGAACAGGCTAAAGCGTAGAAGGACTAAGAAGAACAAATAAAGGAGCTCAAGCTATGCAGTAGCCGACTTGTTGATATCCACTTTCAGAGAGATTGAATGAGTGGTAAATTACATAATTATACCAAATCATTGAAACTAAATAAAACGTACATGAATTTTAAAAATATAAGATAATTATATATCTGAATCTTTGCTTAGAGATACGAAATCCACATGATGTAAATTGATGGAAGAAACTTTATTTAAGCACCCTCTTGATAACTCTAAAGTAGGCTTACAATGATCCAATGGAAGTGCAAGGAAATATGGATATATCAAAACTCTTTACCAGTTCGAGAGACTTTTCTGCTAATCTGAAACTATAAAACAAATCAGTTTTAATCGATAATATGCATGTTATCGATAGACGTAGCTCAACTTTTCTTTTAAGCTTTTCCGTAAATACTCACTTAACTAGTTGTATGTGCTTGCACAAGAACAGTATACCCCTTTGGTAAACCTGTTCAATGGGTGAGGCGAATAACAAATGGCAGTGACAAAGGAGAAAGGTGGGCGGCGGGGTAGGCGATGCAGGAACATTCAGCAGGGCAACTGGTTTTCATTTCAGCTCTTGCCATGGCGTTTGAAATGTCACAACACAGTGCGACAAAAAGGCGTGGCCACAATTAGCCCAGCCGGTATATACGGTACGGCACGGCAAAATGAAAATGTGCATGTGTGTGTGTGCATACTTTTTGCTGGCAGCGTATGGGTATGCCATGATGCTTATTATGCTTGTGGCAGCCCTTTTAACATGGGCTCCATTTCAGCACGCACACACGACATGGCAAAGGGTGTGTGTGTGTGTGTATGTGTGTGTAATCATAATTGTAGTGGTTGCAAATAACAACAACGAAAACAACAACAACGGCAGCAGTGCACACACAACAAAAGGCTCTTTACAGTCTCCTCTGCCTGTTTTCGCCCCGGTTTGCATGTGTAGCCGCCTTTTTCTTTCTATTCGCTGCGCTGTGCTGTGCCTGCTTCAAAATGTCAACTGTAAATTCTTTTGCGCTTCTTCGCCATTGTTGTTGCTGTGGTCGGGTTTTGTTGAGCAGAGTTCATGTAGCCCTCACGGCTAAT